GGAGGTGCCGGACAGAGTCCCATGTGCAGTAATAAGTAGTGGGAATATGGATCGTGCGGTGAAGGACGGAAGTATGAACCTCCGGATTTGGAAACGCCGGATGAATGATGGCGCACTGCCCTTCATTTCGACGCCCATCTCACCGCGCAACGTGGGCATGTTGAGTTCGCACCGACGTTCGCGTTGACTCAGATACAGCCTATCAACGTGGATAACAACCATTCACTTGACATTCTTGAAAAATGCAAGTTCTGGCAGATGCGGTCAACAAAAGACATGTCTTCCCCACCCTCGACTCTTGTGGCCTCTATTCCCCTCGAACTCGTCGACTACATCGTCGACGCAGTCGCCGACAGTCAAACCTTGAAAAGCTTCTGTCTCGCAGCGTCACGTTTTGTCCATCCCTGCCAAAAGCGCCTCCATCGCGTTCTCAACATCCACCTCAGGCTACCACCCCCCTAAACCTCTTAGGGTTAAATACCCCCCCCTGACTTCTAACCTAAGAGGTTCCCCTGCATGGGTTTAACCCACAGGCTATGGCTGTTCCCATCACCATGGGTGTTTCCACCTCCTGTCACATCACACTAGCTGTTTAGTGCCCGTGGTTCACCCATCCTGAGCAAATGGTATTCAATTCATTTTGAGCTATATACTCATCGGAAAAATATATGAAAATTATACATATGCTCTGACTAGTCTAAGGTAATATATTATGGTCATTAGGCGACGGGAAAAGACTTTGCTTGGTGTGGGGGGGAGGGGTATGGTATGTAGGGGGGTTTAGGGCTCTGGGCTAGAGGGGGGGGTCCAGATGGCTATAGAGTGACTAGCATAAGTAGATAGAAAGGTATTCTCTGCTCTATTATAGTCTAGGGCAAGGAAAAGAACTACAGGTATGTGGGTTGGCTTGCAGGGCTTCTATACATGATATTATCTTATATATTTATCCAAAAGAATAATAAAAGGAGGATGGAGAACAAGTCTGAGTCTAGAAAGTAACTAGTCTAGAGGTGGAAGGCAACAAGTTATGCTATAAAGGTCCAGACACTACTGACTACACTGGGTGCAGATGCCGAGCATCGACACATATGCTGCATGATGCTGATGGCATGTTCAACCTAGGCAACACCCAAGGCTTGATTGGGTATACCCAAACACCTCCTTTGAACCCGCCATGGTGTACCCAATCATGCCTTACAGGACAGGTGTGGGTGTATCCACCCATTAATGTGGGCACACCCTGGAACGCCCGCCCCGAAGTGGAGGGCATCACCCATATCTGATGGGATCACCCGGACGGTTTCTGGCCAGCGCCCATGGGTGATCCCATTATCAGGCATATGGTTATGCCCACACCTGCCTAAAAAGGCAAGGTAGCACCCACCACAGGTGGCTACACCCAGCATGCTTCCCGACAGGGTATGTGGAACACCCACCCCACTGTGGGTGAAGTCTAAGGCCAAATTTTTGCTAAGTCTAGTATATAGGGGTGAATAAAGGTGAATAATATGACATAGCCTATAGGTTATCTAGGCCAAGTCTCCCGGAGTCATACTATGTGACATGTTACACAGTGTCTCAAAAAGAAACTTTCATCAATAGACACTAGAGCAGGTAGTTTCAGTGACTGTATCATGTGGTTATATACTGTAATATAATATGATACACATGATACGTTTCCAAGACAGGAAATTTCCGTGATTTGAGAATGCAATCATTACAGAATGTCACAACACCAAAGTTGTCTATATAAACAACTTTCATTAAGTAACCTATAGTGGCATTTGATTAGCTGTGTCCACACTAGCCAATCACTAGCTGATCTATCACTGATAAAATGATATCTCAACAACTAGCGTGGCTACAGAGCTGATTAAAGTTCTACTAAGGACACCTGACTGGTAGGGTCAATATCCCTGTCAATATGATCTTATCAGTATATCCATACTATCCAATAATTGTGCATCAGACTTATTAATCTAGCTATATCTCTGCTAGTTCTCCATGGATTCAGATGATTGTTACATTAGTAGGCAGGTAGTCATATTGTCTTAATATGGTCCTATATGACCATAGTCTCATACCTTTGAAATATACTGTTATATCATGTTTCTGTGGGTTTTTCTGTTTTGAATTTTATCCAGCACAATGAGGCCCTGACATCTGGGTGAGGAATGCATGGATAACCATGATTTAAGTTGTGTTACAGTCAGTTGGACATCCATTATGGCTCTGAAAGACACACATATTTTTAGACACCCTACACACCTGTATATATGGCAAATATCCTGTTATTCAATCTCCCAATAACTCACCTCTAAGTCAGTTATTGACTGGCGGTCCAGGGTTTGGCTAAAAGGGGCCAAGAACCGGACCGAACCGGACTTAGCCATCACTACTTAGAGGTACAGGATCACTGATGAGATGAAAGTAGGAAGCATACAGAGGGGTCCACCTAAAAGGTGGTATGCTCCCCATGATCCTTTATTTATGTAATTGCTTGTTCTTCTCCATTATACATATGACTACTGTTACACATGATATTGACAATACAGCCATGATGTGGTAGGTGATTATGGATCAAAATATGTCAAGTTCAGTCAATAAGGTATATGCAGATCCCCCCATCCTTTGATTGATCTCTAAATGCTGATGGAGGATGAATTTGGATGGACATTCAAAGACCAGTTAGGTATGAAACTGGTTTACATGAATAGTGGGGTATATAGACTGAGTACTGGACATTGAGATGCATGTATGGGGGTATCTGGATATCTACTAGGACCCTGTACTGTAATTAGTTGTGGTTCTGGCATGCGTTATAGAAGGTAGCTGAAGAGGGGGTAGGTACCCATAGAGCAGAAAAGAGTGTCTTCGCTATTACAACTGGTTAGAAATTAATTTCAAGTATGATACAAGACTTGGACATAAGATAGTATAGACCTTCAAATAAACCTATCTCGCACTTGAATCAACCTTATAGCTATTCTAGATCTTTCACAGTACTATTATCAGTGTTATTTATTGCAAAGATGATGAGTTCACCATGCCATGGTCTTTTTGAATCTGAGAAATCAAAGTATATAGACCAGTAAGAGTATGGTCCACATCTGAGAAAGTAAGAGTATGGTCCACATCTGAGAAAGTGGTGCCCCTGCCCCTCTGGCATCCTGAGTTATATAACACCAAGAGTCTCTAGGAATTGACTGACTCTAACACTTGCTACATGGTTGCCTATGGGTAGGATTATAGTAGACCATTATGTGGAACTATATCAACTTGGATCATGAGATTCAATGCATGGGGGCCCAAGACATCAGCAAAATGCTCCTCAACTCTAAATTCAGTGATACTTGGCAGTCAATAGATTAATGTGATGGTACATGATGAGTGAGGTAGATTAGGATGATATACCCTTGAAATGAGCTCCCTCCCAGCCTTATCCACCCAGGCTAACTAAATATCCATGGTTATCTTTCAGAGTTGATGGAGATCAAATACTACTGATGAGTGAATGCCTTGCCTTCTCAGTGTTAAATTCACTTGGGACTGTAAGTGGACACACTAAAGTCTTACTTTGGAGTCTCTGGAAATATAGGTCATCTACCTTATAATGTTGGAGTACCAGATATTCCCTTTTATATGACTAAACAGTAATTACAGTGGTCATATCATATGATGGTGATCAGGAGCCATGGACTATTGAAAATACTCTTGAGAATCTTCCTAACAGTACTTAAATCATATATTTCCATTAAGTAGTTATGAATATAGAAGCTCATCAGTTATAGATCTGCTAGTAAAAGGCTAGTACTGGCATTACTATTCAGCTACCACTATAGATCACTGAATGGAAGTTGTCAGTATACAACATTAGTTTTGTGACACATCACGATCTGTGACATTGTGTGATGAGTGTATCCTCATATGGCAATAATTTCCGTTTTGGATATTCTGTCATATGTATACCTCTATGTTACAGTATATAATCACATCACATAGGCACTAAAACTACCAGCTTCAGTATCTATTGGGAGGCACATGGGCATGCCCATCCTGACTAATAAGCACGTGGGTGTACCTGGCGGGTTCCGTGGGAAGGCGGGGAGGACCCACAGTGGGGTGGGTGTTCCACATACCCTGTCGGGAAGCATGCTGGGTGTAGCCACCTGTGGTGGGTGCTACCTTGCCTTTTTAGGCAGGTGTGGGCATGACCACATGCCTGATGATGGGATCACCTATGGGCGCTGGCCAGAAACCGTCTGGGTGATCCCATCAGATATGGGTGATGCCCTTTGCTTTAGGTGGGTGTTCCGGGGTGTGCCCACATTGATGGGTGGATACACCCACACCTGTCCTATCAGGCATGATTGGGTACACCACAGGGGGTTCAAAAGAGGTGTTTGGGTGTACTCAATCAAGCCTTGGGTATTGTCCAGGTTGAATATGCCGTCGGCATGGCGTGGCATATGTGTCGATGCTCGGCATCTGCACCCGGTATAGTCAGTAGTGTCTGGACCTTTATAGGATACCTTGTGGGCTGCATAGCATGATATAAGGGCACTGACTGTGGGCAACAAGGGCCTGCAAACTTTATTATTATTATTATTTGATGTGGTCGACCAGTAGGCGGACTAGCTGCCAGCCTTTCAATGCTTTGTTGACCGAATTGGTTCTATTCTTCTTTTTACTATTCTTTTCCAAAAGAAAATATGTAATAGTATGAACCTACCTTTAGGGCTTCTTCTTGCCCTCCATTACATAGCAGAGAATGACTCCCAATACCCCTGCATACCATACCCCACATGCTATTCAAAGTCCTTTCCCCGTCCCCTAATTACCATAATATATTACTCTAGACTAGTCTGAGCATTCACATAATTTTTTTATAATTCTCCCATGAGTATACAGCTTAAAATGAATTTAATACTATTTGCCCAGGATGGGTGAACCACGGGCACTAAACAGCTAGTATAATGTGACAGGGGGTGGAAACACCCATGGTGATGGGAACAGCCATAGCCTGTGGGTTAAACCCATGCAGGGGAACCTCTTAGGTTAGAAGTCAGGGGGGGGTATTTAACCCTAAGAGGTTTAGGGGGGTGGTAGCCTGAGGTGCAACATCGCGGACCCAGTAACCAAGCCCGACCCTGACAGCAAATCCGACCCATGGACCACTGCGGCAGCACTTTTTGCGCAGTCGCCTCATCTCGCGCAATACGTCCACCACCTCATAATTGAGCTGCAGCCCGTATTCAACTACAGACACGAGATCCCCAAGGCGTCGCTGGCATTTCTCACCCTCCTGGTTAACGTCCGCATATTCGAAATCACGCCACAATCCTACATGTCATGGTACCACGCTCCCAAGGCCGTTCCCGCGCCCATCTTCGCCTTCCTCCGCAGTCGCAAAGACCGCCCACTCGACAAGGTGTCCGTCACGAAGGTCGGGCACCTGCCGATTGAGTGGGTCATCCAGGCGCTCGAGTCCACCAAAAACCTTTACCTATACTTCTGCTGTCTGAAAGAGTACGATATGGACCGTGGACGGCTGCGCACGCCCATGACCAAATTCCTCAAATACAACCATTCTGCTGGTGCATCGCTTCCGCGGACGCTGTCGTTGCATTTCAGTAGCAATGTCGTCCAGCTGCTGTCCCATACCAGCTTCAAGAAATACCTCCCCTCCGTGCATACTTTGACCATGTCAGAGTACGGGCTGGAGTCGGACCTGGTGCCCACAATTGCCTTTTTTGGCTTGCTTGCGCCGACGGTGAAGCATCTGGTCATTGATACAATGCGTGAGTTATGTCCTCGTTTGTTTCTCCACTGAAATGCTCAACAGGGGAGATCAACACCTTCTCGATGCCCTGCTCGTGGCCGGCGCTTAACACCCTCGAAGTGCATCAAACAAAAGACGACCTCGAGAACGAAGGCGAGCATCCATGGATCCTGACGCACGTGCTCAATGAAATCCTGTCTCCAACCCATGCATCGCCGGAACTCACGGAACTGACAATCGTTCTCTCCCATACGATCGACGACATGCCCGAGGGCTCAATCGACCCGACTCGGAGCAAGCCTGTAGCATGGGCGCTCAATTCCACCCTCATGGCGCTGTTCGACCGCATATGCGCATCCCACTCGACGCTCAGGACTATACGCTGGGTTACGGTGTTCTCGTTCACCTCCACAGGCTACGACGACGACGATGTGTATACCCCGTATCCTGTCGAGGCGGCGCTGGCGCAGCATTTGGCATTCTGGGAGGCATTGACGCGGGCGTTGCCGAAAGTAGCGGCAAGTGGTTGTTTAGTCTTCGAGGACAGGAAGCCTACATTGTAAAAATAGTTGGGCAATAGTAAATGCGCCCAACTGATACTATCACTGCTGTTTTGGAGATATTGAACTTGGTAATTTGCATCATGTACAGTACTGTATCCAAGATTCTCCACAACACTGGCAAATGGCTCCAAATCACACTCTGGATGCTCTTCAGGGCAGTTCCATTTTTCTTCAGCACATCGCAGTTTCAAGAGCGTAACATAGCTATTGGGTCCTTCCGGGAAGAGGAGCTTTTGCGAAAACCCGTTAAGCGTGTCAACACACGCGAGGTTACTCATAATGAACCGCGAAACCGACACAGTTGCCTCAAGGCCTTGGACAGCAGGATGCCGGGTCTGGCAGTACTTGCAGAGGCAGACAGGAGATGGAGCGCCAGCGAGCGCGCCGACAGAGTACAGGGAAGGCATCCCGATTCCTCCGTAAGCAACGACTTGTACCTCTTGAAGAGCGGCCTTCGCAAGGAGTAGGCATGTTTTGAAGCGACGAGTGCTCGCATTTCGGACTATCGCAAATCATATACCGCCTGCCCGCAAATGAAATTAAGATGCTGGCACTCAGTTCTAGGCATTGCCTCTTCGCTGAATCGCATTTGAGGACAAAAGAGAGTACATCAACTACGAACACGCGCTGACCAAATGAAAGTCAAGCTGGGCCGATGTGTGGCGAGTGTTTAAGTAGAAACACATGACGGTTTGGTGGGCGGTAGGCAGGCAATCCGAGTACCCGACGTCATCAATCTGGTCGATAACACGTTCCTCCATGAAGTAGAGTCAGCGGCCAGAGATGCGTTGCCTTGTGGCTAAGTTGATTTGACGAGCTCCTCCCATGGCGGCATGTCGAAATAGGACGGGAGGTTGTCCCATATCGTCTGACGGTGATGCATCGAATCTTGATAAGAGGCCGTATAGCACACCTCGCAGATGGCCTTGCGGAACGACGACCACGGGAACTTGATGGAGAATATCCCGGGACACCCGTTGCCTAAGCTGGCTTCGAGACTTTGCAGCCAGCGCAGCTTGGCGCTGTCGCAGCGCGCGGTGTTGGTGCAGTTGGGGATCTTGAGTGTGCCAGTGAGGAAGCCAAATACCTCTGCTCGTAGCGCAAGAAGCAGATTTTGGCGGCCCCGGATGCAAGCGCGTTTGTCCAGCCAGTCAAGCTCGATATGTTTCCCGTCGATGCTCTTGAGGCCGTCAAGGATATCGTTGATGTCGACTGTGTCGGCACATAGATACATGCACGCAGGCAACAACGCTTCGTGACCGGTCTCTTTTGCAAGCTGGAATACGGCGAACGGTCGGGCATTGAAGACCTCGATAGCGTTGTCCCTTCTTTGCTCCCAGTCTTGCAGCGTGGTGGGGTAAAGCGAGGAGATGTGTGCCAAAGCCCGTCGTCGCAGAAAATCGACATTGTACTTAGTGCTGAGTCGCAAGACTGCCGCAATGAGGGTGAACGAGGTCGTTTCTGGCGGATTGTAGTATCTAACCCAAGTTAGGTTAGCGCTAGATGTAAAAAAGAGACTGTACACGCACCCGACATGGTGCAACGCTTTCAAAAAATGCATAAGGTCGACAGCGGCGTCATACACCCTCACAACAGGACACCCGTCCACCGTCTCCTCCTCCGCATAGCTCCCCACAACAAGCATATCGTTGAACACCGTCGAGTTTGCCGCGAGAATACCGCGGAAGACTTTAAACAACGTGCCCTCTGCCTCAAGAATGAGCGTCCCATCTTCAAACCACACATCGAGCGAGCGCTTGGCAAGTGGAGTGGGCAGCGGTGAGAGCGCAGAGATAGGGCCCGGAGAAAGCGGGAGAGAGAGAGGCACTTGGACTTCGGTACGGTCGAACTCCATGGTGGTGGTGGTGGTGGTGGTGGTATAGAGACAAGGAGGGTTTGATGGCGGCCCGATGATCATTGCGGAAGTTGTTTGTGCAATCGAGACTCTATCCAAAAGAAATCTTATAAGTGATACAGCCGTTTGAACTTGAATTACTTTCTCGACTTACAGCCGTTTGCGGAAAGGTTTGCCACGGCCGGTTTTCGGTCACACAACAAAATTTTGAGCCGATTTTGTATCGGCCGTTTCTTCCTCAAAACGGGGTCTCTTTGCCTAGATTTTAGTAGATTTAGAATGTACAAGTCAAGCAGAATACAATGGTGTGGTTTCTGGAGAAATTGCAGCAATAAATGAGAAAAGTCTTATTCTGGTGTAAAACCGGATTCAGCTCAACAACGGAGACAGCTGGCGGCCTGAATGCAATGTATACTCAAAATTTTGTTGTGTGACCGAAAACCGGCCGTGGCAAACCTTTCCGCAAACGGCTGTAACAGTGATATTGTAGCTAAAACCCACCACCTTGCCTTGCGCGAAGCTCTAAAGTGACAAAGTGCCGCTTAATTAACGTGGACTGTCGGCTCTCTCTGTGGATGCCCGCTGGGGATTGGATTGCCCATAGACATCAAGTTAATTTAAGGGCAATTTCCAGACGATGCAGGTGAGCCTAAGAGATGATCACATTGTGCGATAGTGTTAGGTTTCCTCAGATAACCACCATAACGATAAAGAATTCCCGATCGCAGGTTAAGTCAAGTCGTCGTTTGTTGCCAAAAGCGACGGCAGGAAGGCAGAGCTCCGAACGATTTCCATACGTGGCGCCGCCGCGGAAGCAGCAATCGCAGCGCGAATTCGAGATGCATCAGGCCTAACAAAGAGGTCAGCGTGTAAAATATGGGGAGAGAGAAAGAAAACCAACGCACCCAGAAGCCAATCTCAAGACACACCTCCCGTATGTTTCCTTGTCCTCTTCCTGCCCAACCCATAAAACATCCACCTGTGAATCCGACGCCGTCAGCCCAAATGACTGGGTGAGCGATTCTTGGAGAGCCTGGCGAATTTTCAGCACATCGGAAGGCGGAGATGTGCGGAGCAGGAGGTACTCGTGGCGGAGAGGCAGATTAGAGGACGACGACATGGTACTAGTAGGATGGATAGGAACTCACGTGATTATTAGGCAACCACCTCTTCCTGATCACCGCTGCCACACTTGTTTGGCATTGTGGGACTGGGATGAGCGCTTTCCCACCAAACTTTCGGGTGAGATATCTCTATTTTTCAGATCCGTTCTCATTGTCGAACCCAGCGCATCGCCGCCGGCGTAGAGCGTGGCTCTTTCAGCGACATTGCCGCGGCCATCTTGCGCGTCAGAACGAGACTCGTGCCTCTCACTCCTGCAGTCGTCAACTTGTTTCTTGCACCATTCAAGAGCCCCCCTCCCGGGCCCACCCACCTCCTCTCGACACTGACTCTCGTGACCGCATACTTGGATGGTCTCAAAATCTGCCTAGACATCGCACATGACCGCCGAAACACCGCCGCTGACGCAGAGATCGCGGGATATTGGGAAATTCTTTGTCGATGGCTGTCCGCTATAGAGCTTGCTGCGGCCGAAAGACTGGAGGAAACGGACGACGTAGCCGAATGGTTTCGAGTGGCTCAAGCGGTCAAGGGATTCATCCATGCTGCTGCTGCGCACCACCCTGGATTTCAATCGGCCTTGCAAGACCGTGCTACTCTGGAGACGATCATGACTTGTCTGGCCGGCATCTTTGTCGTGGAAGGCGAGCACCAGATCCAGCATAAACCGGGAGAAGGCACGGCTCCAGCAGCGCTATATGCAGTACTTGCGCAGACATTGTTCCACGGAGGGCGCCCTGAACGGGCCGTGCAGCCGAATTCCCTCGCCATCGAGGTATTTTCCAGTAACTTTCCCGACAAGGCGTACCTCGCACAGCTTATGCTTCGTCATCTTGACCTCGCACGCAAGGCCGACAAGGGCGTGTCTCATCCAATGCACATCCTCGGTACTCTCAACTTCGTCATTGCGACTATTGTCGATATTCCCAACGTATCGCGACCACTCGTCCTCCAGTACCCGATGCGCCATATTGTCGCTCTGCTCAAATGGGCCGCCAAGTCACGGCACTCCCGTGCTGAGCTTGCCCATGTTGTTTCGATGAGTTTCGGCTATATATCATCCAGCATGCGCGCCACAAATGGCTATGGCTGGATTCGTCACTGTCTCCGCGCAGGAATCCTGGTGTCCATTCTCGAATGCAGCAAGTTTTACACCGAGCGGTCCGCAGACCACATCGAGCCTGTCAGCATAGTGCTGGAAGCAATCACTGTCTTTCTGACATACCGTTCGGTTGTCCGCCAGGCGAAGAAGTCGATTCAAGAGGTGGCTGCTCGATTCGATGTGCGGAACCCCCCGCTAGATGGCAAGCTCCGTTCTGAATGGGCCGAACTCATACGTATTCTGGACGAGCGGGTAGTGCTAAAGGAAAACCACGATCTGAACAATCGCAATCATTGCCAGGCGATCAGGGTGAGTACTTACAATCGTTAAGCCACAACCAAGTAATACCTACACAGTGTACAACTGTTCGGCCAGATCTTAGAGCCTGCGGCTCATGCCGAGTTGTTAAGTATTGTTCAAAGAGGTGTCAAGAAGAGCATTGGGCCAAGCATAAACACCACTGCGCTGACATGTTTCGCCTGCATGGTGCGATACTTAAGCTTGCTATAATTCATGTTGTGTTCATTGAACTTCATTCCTAACGTGCATTTAGACCTCGGTGCTGAGAGGATGACTCACCAAATTGCCTGTAACGAAGACCGCCGCTTCTTCGAACAGGTTGCCAACCACGACCTTCGTGCGATCAGGCAGAATCTCATCCATCAGCGGGCCCGGCTTCTCGCGCACATTCCCCGTAATCAGCGTCTCCCGTGCTTCGTCAAGCTCGACTATCTCCATCACCCGCTCAAGTACGAAGTCAGGATGATAACCCCGGAGGAGCCCCTGAGGGATCCATCGGTAACCGTCGAGTTGGCGAACAAAGCGCGCAGTTCATCGGTGCCATGGACATACATCGAGATCGCCATGCCTCATGGGAGAGGTGCTCATGACCATTTTGCATGGCTGGATGGGCTAGGGAACTGGGATTAATAGTGAGTGGAGGAAATTGGGGGAAATGATTTGGATATATATGGATTTGATAAAACTTTGGATAACCACGCCGCGGGCTATACCAGGATGAATGGCAGGTTAATTTTAACTTGGACAACAACCCCGATGAACGGCATTCAACTTCTATGTATTTGCTTTCTCTGGAGTCTGGATGAAAGTGAAAGGAAAATTTAAAAGGAGGTGTTGCCTTGCCTACTTATTTCTTGAGAATGGAAGCAACATCACATGAGTGTAAGGGCAACCCCGGAGGCCTGAGATCAAGGTCCTAGCAGGGGAGGATCCAAAGCGTGAACATTGGTAAGCGAATACAAAATGAAGCTGACCTAGCAGGGGAGGATCCAAAGAGAAGAAACTCTAAGGGTCCGCCTGCTAGGTAGCTGACTATATACTGCTTGTCCGTAGCTGCCGCTGTCGGGCACAGAAGGCTTGGGCGGCGTCGCAGGCGAGGTCCCAGGGCGACCGTTGGGAGGGCATTGACGGATTGGTGATTGTGCGGGCGAGATGGAGGGCCGGACCGGAGTCGGAACCGGAATCGGGCGCGTCTCCGGGCCGAAAGGGAGGTTCCCCTGACATCACCCCCCCCTTTGAATGCGGCGTCTCAACGCATAGACCGGAACGGAATCGAGTCGAAGGTCGCGGAGGCGATGTGTCGTGGTTTGCCAGGGTACTTACGATAGAACTCCGCGATTTTCTCCGGGGCGAAGACGCGGTCGAAGCGGACCCACTGGTCGTGCGACGCGTCGTAGCCTTTCCATCTGACAAAGTAGTTCAGCCGTTTATACCTCACCCTTGCGTCCAAGATTTCCTCTACTTCCCACTCCGGGACTCCGTCCTCGAGGTCCGGAGGGGGCTGGTCGTAGCCGGGGCGTCCGTCGAAGGGGTCGTCCTGGGCGAGCTCGAGCTTGACGACGGGGAAGACCAGGTGGAGCTTCGAGTAGCGCGGAGGGAGGTCGAGCTTGTAGGCACCTTTGCTGATCTCCACGACTATCTTGAACGGTCCGAGGCGGCGATGGGAGAACTTTTCCGAGGGGCGAGTCGTCCTGATATCAGAGGCATCCAGCCAAACACGGTCGCCAACCTTAAACTCCGGAGACGGAGTGCGTCTCCGGTCGTAGTAGCACTTGTACTCCTCTTTGGCCTTAGTGAGCGCGGCCTTGGCTTCAGCAACACCAGTGGCGATCCGGTCGCGGAAACTTGTTGACCGACTTCATGGCGGAACGGACTCCGGGTTCGAAGCCCATGCGCGGGAGCCGTCCCGTGTCCGTCATGAAGGGGACCTGCTGCGTGGAGGAGTGGACATGGTTGTTGTAGGCGAACTCCGCGGCCGGAATCAGCTCATCCCAGTCGTCCTGCTGATAGTTGGTGAAGATCCGCAAGTACTGCTCCAGCTCTTGGTTGACGCGCTCTGTCTGACCGTCTGTCTGCGGGTGGTACGCGGTGGACGTGGCGGGCTTGATGCCGATTAGATGCCGAAGTTCTCGGGTGAAGTCCGCGATGAACTGCGAACCGCGGTCGGAGACGTACTTCTCCGGAGTCCCGTGATGCCGCCAGACGTTCCGGTAGTAGAGGCGGGCTGCCCCTACTGCATTGACCGTTGTATGACACTCCGAGAAGTGGGCGCGCTTTCCGAGGGTGTCAACGACGACCATGATCGCGTCGTACCCATGGGCTTCGGGGAGCTCTATGATGAAGTCGACGGAGACGGTATGCCAGCGTTCCGGGGGCGTTTCCGTGGGGTGCAGCTCTCCGTGGGGCAGTCTCCGGAGTGCCTTGGTGCGACAGCACAAGTCACAGGTCGCAACATACCGGCCGATATGGCGAGACATCTGAGGCCACCAGTAGTTCCGGGAGACCAACTCCAGGGTCTTGAAACGACCTGCATGTCCGGCGACTCGGGTGTCATGGCAGAGCTCGATGATGCGTCTCCGGAGGTCCTTGTCCTTTGGTACGACGATCTTTCCTCGGAAATGGAGAAGACCGCCGGAGACGGCCCACTCGTCAGAACGTGAGGAGCGGGGGCCTCGAGCTTGACCTTGAACCTTAAGAAGTTGCCGGGCTGCTAGTGCGACGGGCTCCTCCAGGTCAGGCTCACCGGAGAGGGCATCACGGATGTCGCGGAGGAGTTCAGAGCCGGGACCGGAAACGGAAACGCCCTCGAGTGCGCGGACGTGGAAGAGTTCAGGCCGCAGAAGGACGACGTCGGAGTTGTCGGAATCGACTCCGTGGTCGGGTCTCCGGGAGAGGGCGTCAGGCCGACCCATATCGCGGCCAGGCTTGTGGTGCAGCGTGAAGTCGAACCGGGAGAGGTACAGAGACCACCGGGCCTGTCTCCGGTTGAGGTGTTGCGTCTTCCTGAAGTACTCCAAATTCTTATGGTCAGTCCAAATCTCGACAGGGTGCGCGGCGCCCTTGAGGAAGTGTCTATACTCCTCGAGTGCACGGATGATCGCGAGCATCTCCTTGTCGTGGATTTCGTAGTTGCGCTGGACATCATTTAAGCTTTTGGAATAGAATGCTACAGGGTGCCACTTCCCGTCCGGGGCGGATTGTGAAAGAACCGCCCCCGTCGCATAATCAGAGCTGTCCGCCTCGAGTCGGAAAGGCCGTGCGTCGTCCGGAATCGCCAGGACCAGTTCCGAGGTGACTGCGTCCTTGATCGCTTGGAACGCGGAGGCCTCTGCGTCGCCCCAAGTCCATTGCTGGTCCTTCTTGGTGAGCATGAAAAGAGGGCGCGCAAGGGTCGAGAAGTCCCGAATGAACCTGCGGTAGAAATTAGCGAACCCAAGGAACTGCTGAATGTCCTTCTTGTTTTCCGGAGTCGGCCAAGCGGAGACGCCTGCGACCTTGACGGGGTCCATTTCGACGTGGTTGTGGGAGATGATGACTCCGAGGTACTCGATTGACGATTTTTCAAAGTCGCACTTCTCCACTCGAAGGTACAACTTGTGCTCCCGGAGTCGCCGTAAGACCTCCTGGACAATCTGCTGGTGTTTCCGGAGGTCGGAATGGGCGATCAGGATGTCGTCAAGGTAGATCATGACGTCTCCGGAGAGGATGAGGTCCTGAAAAATGTCATTCATCATCGTTTGGAACGTCGCGGGAGAGTTTGTCAGGCCGAAATACATCACCAAGGGCTCGAACAGGCCTCGGTTAGTCCGGAAAGCCGCTTTCCACTCGTCACCTTCCTTGATCCGGACGTTGTTGAAGCCCCAACGAACATCAAGTTTAGTGAAGTAACAAGCGCCTTTGAGCCGGTTGATGAGGTCGTTGATCAGCGGAAGGGGGTACCGGTTTTTGACAGTCATCACATTGAGAGCACAGTAGTCCTGGACGAAGCAGAGTCCGCCATCCTTCTTCTTGACTAAGAAGACCGGAGACGCCATCGGAGACTTGGAGGGGCGAATCCGGCCCGTCGAAAGCCCTTCCTCGATGAACACGTCGAGCTCGCATTGCTCGAGGGGCGAGATGGGGTACACCTTGCAGTTGGTGGGCTTAGCGTCGGGGACAAGCTCAATGGCGTGGTCCCAGGCTCTCCGCTCCGGTAGCGTGTCGAAGGACTCCTTGTTGAAGACGTCCTGGAACTCCTTAGCCCAATCCGGGATCTTGGAGGGTGGTGGGGCGGAGTTCCTGGCAAAGGCTTCGGCCAGACGCTGTGAGACGGTGCTACCTGCGCGTATCTCCTCTGAGGGACGGAACGAGGTGTAGAAGATGCGGTCACCATCTTCGAGCTGGTCATCTTCGTCATCCGAGTCCGAGTCCAGCGTCAGATCAGGCAGGTCGGAATCGAGACCGGAATCGGAATCGTCTCCGTCCTCAGGGCCAGAGAGGTCCATAGTGCAAACCGAGGGGAACGGGCCGGAGCGGAGACGCTTCTGAAGCGACCGGAGTCACCGCAGCTCGGTTCGTTCGACGCGCTCTTCCTCACGGCAGGTCGAGCAATTGCGGGGGCACTGTGTCATCTTGACCTCCTTGTTTTCCCAATTGATCTCTGGGTTATGTTTCCGTAACCAGGAGTACCCCAGGATCACCTGTGTAGCCCAATACCCACTGTGTACTATCTAGTCCACCCCAGCGGGGGTGTCGCAGATAAGCCATGCTGCTCTCAGCATTGCCATAGAACTGAATAAACCTTGGAAAGGGAACTGAATAAATCTGAGCAGTTCTTAGGTTTTCACCATTTCTCGCACCAAGTCCACATGACTGGCTATTATCACCTCACTCATAGTATGAATAATGTTGAATAGACTGGGTATTTCCTAGTAGCATTGTATATAGTTTAGCTTATTAGTATATGTATAGCTATCATATAAGTGTATTCTGATATGAATAATAATGAATAGTAATGAATAATTCAAACCCTCTAGAGACTTGGGTTGAACTCAGCACCTGGGTTATATGTGTGTCATGATGTGTGACAAATTTCCCCAAAAGGAAATTTTCACTATTTGACTGTATAATCATCAGAGAATGTCACAGATCGTCACAAAATCAAAAGTTGTGTATTTTGGCTATACAAACAACTTTCATTAAGTGACCTATAGTCGCAACTGAATAATTGTATTACTAGAATTGGCCAATTATTAGCTGATCTACACCTGAGTAATATATCAGCAAGTGGATAACTTATATAGGTGATTAAAGCACTACCAAGGGTATGTAAATGATAAGATCAATATCCAGGACAATAAAATGTTATTTGCATAGCTATATTATGCTATGATGATTCATCACCTACATTGACACTGCAATATCTCCACCAATCCTGCATCAAGTGAGTTGATTTTTGTACTGGTAGGTAGGTAATAGCGTAGTGTTGATATGCTCTGATGTGATCATGCTTATATATGTTGAGACTATGATATTATACCACTCTTTGGTAGTTGTTATATTTCAAATTTGATTAAACTCAATGATCACTTGATATCTTACTGGGAACTTCATGGATAAGCATAATCTAAGTTGCAATCTGGTCTAATAGA